AAAATATTAAAATTAAATTACATATAAAATTAAAAAAAAATCTTAAAAATGTTAATATAAAAAATATTTCTTAAAGTCACTCTCGAATTTTAACACTCATTTAAAATAGTAATTTGTGTAATATATATTTTAATTGTGTTATGTCATTATAAACACATTTATTTTTAAATGTGACATAACATAATTAAAAGATATAATTAATTATCAATGTAAAAAAAAACTTTACACTAGTAGTATATAAGTGATTAACTCATATATAATATAGAAGAGATAATAATTCATGAATCTTGTAACGATTGAAAGTCAAACCAACACGATATATATATACACATCCACTCCGATTTGTTTGAAAACCATAAGAAAAACAAAACAACAATAACAAACAATAACACAGATTGAAAGAATCAAACATGTCTGGTGGTAGTAGTAGCCATCCCAACAGGAATGTACGACTCCACTTGACAACGAAGACGAAGACGAAGACGAAGACGGCACCGCCCTGACGGAGAAATTAACGATCCCGCATTCCCTTCCATCCCAATCCCTCAACCTGTAAGACAAAAACTGCAAACAGTGATCGGGCACCAAGCCTCCCAAGAAATCCGAAAGCGCGATTCTGGCAACGCCAACGTCTCTCATTGCTCCCATTCCCGTCTTGCTCTTAACTTGGAACGTGAGGGACCTGGCGTAGGCCCCTATCTCCACCATGAACTTCTGGTTCCACTCGTGGAAGCCGTTGTTGCCCTTGGCCGTGGCCGTCGTGTGGTGGGTGAGAGACTCGGCGTGAACCACCGCGAAGGCGCTCTTGTCGGACGGCTTCCCCCTGACGCGGAGACCCTCCACGGATAAAAGTGTGAGCTCGAGAGTTTTGGATTTGGATGGCGGCATCAAGTGAGGAATAGGATTGTGATTTGCGTGTGAATGGGATGAAAGCATATTTGGATAAAAGGCGTGTCTCGTGTTTGAATATATAAGAATGTTTTGACGGGGAACTTTCAAACTGCGGACCGTGCGCCGCAATTGCCTATAGTTTTTAGGAAATAAGGAATTCTGGTACAATGTTTATAAGGATATATATATATATTATATTCACTCTTTTATTTCTGCATAAAATATCACAATTATTTATTTTTCACTTTTATTCTTATCTTCTTCAAAACCATTTTGACTTAATTTTTAGTTTATTAAAAATATAAAAAAGAAGTTATCATTGTTGACCATATTATATTATTTGTCACTTTCAATTTATGGTGGCGTGACTTTCATAAAATTACTTAATTTTTTATTTTAGTTGTTATGATTTTTATATACTTTTATTTTTCCAAATTTTTAAATCATCGTTTTGCTATTTTATGACAAGTTTTCCCTTTTTAATGATGTAGGATAGTTTTGATACTATCTTAGAATAGTTGACAACTTATAAGGTAAAAATTATTCTTACTTATATACTCTTTAATTGTTTTATTCTTAGTCAATAAGGTAAGAATTGATCCTCATTTATATTTTTTATTCCTAATCGATGTGGGACAATTTTATCCTCTTTAATTGTCTTATTCGATGTACTTGAATGTTTCCAATAACCCATTTTAATGGGGGCACTATCTATAATCAATGTAGAACTTGAGTTTTATACTCTTTAATTTTTTTATCTCTAATCGATGTGAGACTTGAGTTTTTTTTTCCAATAATCCTTTTTAATGATCTATTTTGATTTTTTTTCAATACATCTTCTCACATACAACACTATTAGACTTAGTACGTGCATATATGGTGGGTGATTTTTTTTAATAATCTAAGATAAGTGATTTTTTTTAATAATCTAAGATAGTTATGATATTATCTTATAATAGTGAATTTGAGTCTAATTCAATCATATATAATCTAATTTTAAGGTGAGAATCGTTTTCTACTTATATACTCTTTAATTATCTTATTTTTAGTTATGGGACTTGAGTTTTTTTTTTCAATAATCTATAACTTGTTTAAAATTGCTTTCAAAATAGACACGATCAAAGCCTTTGTGTCTGAATTATTGAATGACAATAAGTAGTGCAATGGCTTCTACTTCGTTTACATTTGGTAAGTTAAGCTTATGGTCTGAGTAGGATTGACAAGATGACATCTGTCGTCTCTAAGGTATGCCCAAAACCAAAACTCTTACTCTCAGTAAAGAATGTTACGTCCACGTTACCTTTAAGAAAACTAGTGAGAGGAGGGTTTCATTTGGTGGTGTGGTTTATGTGTGATGGTTGCGTTGGCATTGTATCATTCATGGAGAATTTCTAAGGCTTGGCCAATAGTGCTTCATGGGTTAAGATTCTTCCTCCCAAAGATAAGTATTTCTCTGACTTGAGTATCAATACTTGAATTACAGATGTCGGAGATGATATCATTAAAATGAGTCAACCTCAAAAAGGATGCAAGTGTTGGCCAAAGAATTGAATAGAGTCACGCTTCTCTAGTGGTGTTCCAATCAAAGAAAAAGTGTGGATTGTCCTATGGTTAGGGTTGCCGGAGGGGATAAGTTATGGGATATTTTACACTTCTTCTTTGAAATCTGGTACGAGTAGGAGACAATTCTCATACGCACACCATATGAAGTTTTTTTACGTGTGGGATTTTCGGGTTCCAGATGTTGTTCCATGGGCCATTATAAATAAATATTTACAATTTTATATTTTTGAACTCTTTAATTTTATATATCTTGAACCAGCTACATTTAATAGTCCAATGATCTGAGTCCTGAATTCACCACTGACACATCGCCTCCAAGTAACAAATATTGATACATGTGTTTGATAAGGCCTGTCTAACGTAGTTTATCAAGTCTAATGATGTGTTTAGAAATTAGTAGCTTTGGTGAAGACATAAATCACTTCAAGCATTATAAAAGAATTCTCGTGTCCTACTTGTATGTGACTGTAAACAAAAGTATCCCAAACAAACTGATCCTTTTTTCCATATCAATTTAATTGGTCAATATAAGTCAGCTTTGAAGGAGCTTACTTTCTTGGGGTCCCCTCCCCTCTATCCATTACAGTACATTGACATGTGTTTGGATATTTTCTTAGCTTTTGAGTTGGAAATGACTCATTCATCTTACCATGAATCAAAATTAATTAATTATATATCCTCTTCCGTCTTCAGTGTGAATTGCTGAAATATTTGGCCAGAATTTAAAGACGACAGTCAAAAGTAGCCATTAGGTAGCATATATTACTATATTAGTTCTAATATTTTTAGTATAAAATATAGTACTCATATTGTAAATAAATTTTTTATATTAAATAAGAATATTTATCTTATACAAAACCATTTTCAAAAAAAAAAATTCAATGAAAGGACTTTTAAATTTTTTTTTAATTTCTGATCTAATTTGATTTTTATTTATCATAATTATTTATAAATTAAATTTTAATATCTTTAAAATAAATTATCAATAAATAAAAATAATGTCATGCTATAATATAAATTGCTTATCATAAATTTAAAATATAACTTATATTTTTAAAAGTATCTATTTATACAAAATTTAAATATAATTTTTATATTAAAATATAATATTTATTTAAATATATAATTTATTATAAATTTTAGTTACATATAACAAATATTTTGTCTATACATGATACGTGGTAAAATATTAGTATAATTACTATTATTAATTTATTTCATGGTAATTAAGTTGAAATTAAAAGGGAACTTCCTTATTGACTCCTCCAAAAGTCTCGGAGGAAAAGCAAGTCGTGCACACTTAGGTTATTAAGCTAACATAGGAGTATGCATGTGGTAGCATTATGTCAATAATCTGCTTTTGTTTGAAGAAATGTTAGATATTTTCGAGGAAAAACTGAAGCAACAACTAAACATCTCAAAGAAAAGTACCCGCCATCGTTTGGTAGAATCGATGCTACACAAATACATGCAATAATAATGTATTGCTTTCAAAGACATTGTGAAACATGCATGTTTGATTGTCCAAAGTTGCGAAATACATGTGAAGCTTTTAACTGGTAAAATGTCTATTAATTCATGATTCGCGGAGAGGATTGGAAACTTGTTTTGAAGGCAAAGCTTTATTTTGAATTTTTTATTTGATGGATTAGTGGAACAAGGTAGACATAGGAAATTAGGTGAATAAAGTCATCTGGTATTAAATTAAAATAATTAGTACTTTTTTTTAAAAAAATAATATATTAAAATTTGGTGGTATTTAATTAATTTTTTATTTAAAAAATTAAATAAAGTCATGTGATATTAAATTAAAATAATTAATACTTTTTTTAAAAAAATAAAGTCATGCGGTATTAAATTAAAATAATTAGTACTTTTAAAAAAAATATATTAAAATTTGGTGCTATTTAATTAATTTTTTATTTAAAAAATCTGTTAATATTTAAAAATAGAGATTTTAATAAATTATTTTGAAAGATAAATTTTGTAAGATTTTTTAATACAATTTATATTAAAAAAATTCATTTAATAATCTCGTTAATTAATGCTTTTAAAATTTTGGATGGTTCTTCTTTATTTCTCCTCAATTTTTGGTCGTTCACCTTTTTCTTTCCTCACATTTTCCACTCTGGCGCGCGCGGCGTTTGGATATTTTCTTAGCTTTTGAGTTGGACATGACTCATTCAGCTTCCGTCTCCGGTGTGAATTGCGGAAATATTGGCCAGAATTTAAAGACATTCAAAAGTAAGCATTAGGTACCATACATTACTATATTAGTTCTTTATTTATATTATAAAATATATAATATTTATTGATGCATATTTGACAAATATACTAATTAATGTAATAATAAAGAGAACAAAAATTTATGTATGAAATTCATAAAGATTTAGCTTTATAGTTATTTAATATAATATTTATATTAACCAAACAAATTACTAAAAAATTAAGATTATTTAGACAAAATTTACTAAAAAAATGTGTGTGATTTGTGACAATAAATTTTATAATTTTCAGCGGTTAAAAATTGTCACAAGTTATATTTCTAACTCAATAAATATCCATCAAATTTACACTTGTTAATTAAAAACAACTTTTTATGTTTTTTTATGACTGATTTTGTCGCTAGAAAATTGGCTAATTTCGAGATGGTCACTACCTCGGAATTAATCTAATAAGGTTGGTTAACAAATCTTAGAAAGTGTATCGAACGCTCGACTAAGGAAGGCCTAACTGGTCGAAGAAAATGAATATGATATATTTGGGACAAAATCTTATCTTTAATAATCAAATATTACAATATTAAAATCACCTTAGAAAATCTTGATGTTTTTGGGACTCATAAGACCTACAAATAAGTAACTATAAAATCTCAAACCCTAGACTTAAGAGGACAAACTAATACTCTAGCTTTAGTGGCTCGCCTAGAATAAATCTTAGATGTCCTCTATACTGAACAACAGTATTAAAACCACCTTAGAAAATCTTGATGTTTTTGAGACTCATAAGACCCACAAATAAGTAACTACAAAATCTCAAACCCTAGACCTAAAAGGATAGACTACACACTTGAATGCTCTAACTTTGATGGTTCGCCTAGAATAAATCCTAGACATCCTTCGTATCGAAACAAAAATATATATCATTTTTTGGGAGTCTATATCTATAAAAAAAAATGCACTTTAGATTTTTTGAATTAACATTTGTGGCAGTTTGGAACTTCCAAAAAATGCATTTTGTTTTTCTTGGATTTAAATTTTTTAGTAGTTCAAAACCGTCACAAAATGCATATAACTTCTTAGTAATAATTTTACTTATCTAATTCCAAGGATCTCTTTTTTTTTTTTTATAGTAATTTCTACATATAATTTTGATAATATTTATATATTTTCAAGTGTAATTATATAAAGATATATTGAATTAACAATTTTTTATATTATTAAAAAATTGAGACAATTATAACATGACACACATTCATTATTAACACATTAGCATCCATACACTCTAGAACATATCTAACTTCTTAAGTAACTCAAAAAATCAAATACATGATCGATGTTCAAAG